TCGTCCGTGGCGTGGTTGGTACAGACTTCCTTCATGTAGTTTCTCCTGATCATAAAACGAGAAGCCGTCAGCAGAGGCCTGGCGCCCTCGCCTGCCTTCTTGTGATATCGCGGAGAGCCGCCCACTTCTTGCTGTTAATCCTCCCCCGAGAATATTTTTCCCTTGATTTTTAGAGAGAGTGGAAAGGAGTGGGAGAGACAGAGAGAAACACCGATGTGAGAGACACACCGATTGGCTGCCTCCTGCACACGCCCGACCGGACTGGGACGGGGATCCAACCTGTGACCTTCCAGTCTGAGGGCCGACGCGCTAACCACTGAGCACCAGCTAGGGCAGAGCCCACCCGCTTGTTGTCCCAGGATGCCTCGCTGCATCTCGTCACCGCAGAGCGTCTAGACTGCGGACCCTCCTGGTTCCAGGGTCCCACCTCCACAGCGTGACTGGGGAGCGTGCTCGCCCCAGACTTCTTCAGACCATGTCTTTACGCCCCTTTAGTCACAGGCGTGACGGAGGGACCCACAGGCAAACAGGTGCCACACGTCTGACTGGAGAAATACAGGTGGCCCCTTCTGAGTTCCAGGCAGGAGCGTGGTGGGTGGACAGACACACAAGTAATCGCACTGTGGGTTTGGTGACAGTCCCCTGCTGACCGGCGCTGACAGCCGGCAGCCGGAACCCGGAGCCACCCTCGGGGCCTGTGTGTGCCCAGAGCAGCCCTCCCCGCAGTGGGTGGCGGGCACTGCCTCCTCCATGTCTCAGCACCCTCCCGGGACTCCCGGCGCCCACCGAGTACCCATCACCCGTGTGCCAGCCACTGGGGGTCCCAGGGACAGGCGAGGAGCCCATTGAGGGGTGTCTGCAGGATGCCCACTGGTGCCCGCTGGATGGCATCGCAGTCCCCTGGTCTGTGGGGGCCCTGCTTTCCAAGCCCTTAATTTCTGGCTTCTTCGCTCTGGGCCTGCCCCCCTTTCTGTTGGCATTCTTCGCCAGGAGGCCGTGCCAGAGCCAAGCCGCCACCACCACCACCACCACCACCACGGGGCCTCCTGGGCAGAGCTCTTACCAGCCTACAGTGGACCTCGGGACTGAGGGGAAGG